CTAATTTACATAGAAAAGACGTCTAGTCCAAAACGGCCCTAATACCTTTGTGAATTCAGTATAGAAAGGACAGAAGTATAATTTTTTATGATAATTATTTTGGACAAATAAATTGGTAAAAGGAGATTACAAGTATTTAAAACGTGATTGACCGAGAAGAATTCTTTTTTGAATGGTAGATTAAATAAGATGGAAGACAATTAAAAATAGAGAAGAATAAGTATTGCACTCAAACTGATTGATTTTCATTACGAAGGCAAATATAAGGTATAAATCGGCTAGTTCAAGTATAATCAAAACATGCTTGTATAACACTGAGAAAAATTTACCATGTCGATGGCATCGCGTGGAGAACACCGAGAAACAACATCATCGTCAAATTGATACCATATATTGTCACCCCTGGGGTTAATGTAGGCAACATAATGCCCCCCATGGTTATCCCCAGAATGAACGAGAACAGCATGCAAGAAATAGTCAGCTGGCTGTTTATCTTTCTCATGCAAATAGGCATCAAGATTAAGCAAATATGGAAATTCGAAGCGGTCATTTATTTTTACATTAGTGTCAGCATTGAAATCATACATAAACCGCATTAACTGAAGATAAAGAACTGGCGGAAATCGAAGGAAAATAACGCCCTTTGCTGCTTCTTGTAGACCAAATGCACCAGCATCATATTTATTTTCATTGGCAAGTGTTTCGACTTCAATGTATTCGTGAAATGCATCCTGTATTGAATGATTACCTTTAACTTTTAGTTGAATGTCATAAAAATTTTCTTCTCTTTTGGATTCATATTCCACGTTTGTGCATCTTATATAAGAAAGCATCTTCCCACAGAAAAGACCGGGTATAACATCCTCCACGGTTGTGCCTTTCATCTTATCTTCTAGATTATCCAAGAGGACACGACATAACTCCTGCGCATCATGCTGCATGAAGGAATCGAAAGTATCCCAGCCAAAGCTTTTCGTCAGTTTCTTAGTTCCGACGCACTTATCGTTAAACTGAAGTTCATAAAAAACCCGTTGGAGAGCGAGAGGTACGCTTGTTTGATCGTCGTCACTCTCAGTGGGCATAAGAAATACAGCTTTGCGCAACTTGTTAGTGCAATAAAGAGCCTGCAGCAAAGAATTAAGGTAACAGGTGGCCCCTTGATTCTTTAGACCAACGAATCCTGTGTGCTGTCTTGAATCCCAGTCAGCCCCATGAGGAGCCTCAGCTCTAACGTATGCCTTGATTAATATAGACTCTGTGCAATCATCGGAGATAAAGCCGCGCTCAGGGTTGTACAATTCATCATAATTTATGAAATTAACGTAACCCCAATCATTTTCCTTATGAGTGAACATATGATGTATGTTCATCACCTTGTCTTCACATCCAAGACGCTGAGCACAAAGGACGATTTTCGCTTTGGCTGAACATGTCCACGTAAGTGACTGGCTATCCGCGTTGCATTGAACAAATACTCCAATGGAAGCTTTTTTGTTGTCCCATTTATGAAAAATACACAATATTTTCCAAGGCAAGCACCTGATCATGACTTTAGGACTAAATTTCTGTAAAGATTGTCAGATATTATTTAAGTGGGACATTTTAAAATTCTTGATCAAATTAAGGCTTACTTTGACTTCATCTCTGGATATAAAATTCTAAAAATAAAAAAATTCATTAATACAACGATATGTAAGATTTTAAAATATTTTATACACTAGGCATACAGACCTTGAGTTTCAGGATCCCATCAAAGGAGCCTTCCAATATTCCAGAGGCACGGGAATCATTAAAATCTAAGGGATCGTCTATAAACTCCTCAGCATAAGATTTTGCATTCTAAATAATAGATAAAATTGATGATAACCAAATAATGTAATCATTAATAAAAATTTATGATAGAGAATGGGGA